CCCCCCCCCTTTTCCTCTTCTCACGACTTGGGCGCCGCCGGTGCCGCCGCCTCCCGCCTCGTGACTGGAGGAGTCAGGTGGGGTGAGGCAGGGGGACGCGGGCTCGCTGGGTACACTTCACACCTCGTAAACAGGACGAGCAGCACACCTAGGTGGCGACAGGCGGCGGCGGCGCGCTGCGATGGGATGGGGGCCCTCCCGAGGCTCGGCTGCTGCTGTTGGGCCCCCGGGCCCCCCCGAGGGGTAGGTAGGTGGGGACCCCGCAGCGCCTCGGTGCGCTGAGGAATGCACCTTTGCTGAGACACCTATGGCATGGCCGCTGGGCTATCTAACGCCTTCTCTTCTCTTGTCGCCCGGGCGGAGTCTCCACCATGACGTTCGCCACCGCCGCAAACCTCCACAGCTCCTATACGAGTCTGCCGAAGTCGAGCCCTATGGCACTGGAACACCCAGGAGAACTAAAACTTGTAGCAACCTTTGTATGGTAGACCAGAGATAATCTTCAAAATATGTTTGCGGTAACACGCATAACGTACATGGTGGTGCCAACAACGAAAATAGCAAGCATGACCATCGTGTGTCCATCGTCGATGTAACCATACGAGTGTTGGTATAACGATATTTTGTATGGTTACCCTTGGCCAACTGCCATAGGATTCTTGCTACGAGTTTTCATTTTCTTGAAAATACCCTCTTTGCGCCCTTTTACCATCGGCCTCGGTCAGGTGTGTCCAAATCTAGGAAGATATCTGCCTGAGCATCCTCTGCTTGTCGGCATCAACATGACCCCCCCCCCCCCTTTTCCTTCTTCCCCTGCTCGTTCCCTTCTCTTCCTTCTCTCCCCACTCGCTCCGCGGGCGCCGGCGGCCGCTCTCCTGGGGAGCGCCGGTCGCGCTGCGGGCGGGCTGCCCAACGTGCTCGTGAGCGCAGCGGGACTGCCTACCCGCTCGGCGCTCCGAGCTGCGCGCGCCGGGCCCACCTACTGTTTTGAAAATCCGTATTTTTTTTCTGGAAAAATTAGTGGGAAAATTAATGGTTTAA